ATGGGAAAGCCACTTGGGCCTCGGCCTACGGGAAAAGTACTAATAGATGACAAAGCCACAGGCGCCCCTGCCCCAGGAGCTCACCTCAGGATGAGGGAGCCCATGGGCTTCCGCAAGGAGCCTCTCTGGCCGGCCCTTAATGGCGAGGGTGGGGGGTAGAGACGGTACAAGCGAGGCCCCCCCCCCAAGTCGACGCCCCTCCCACAAATCCGGCCTTTTCGGGGCCAGCCGAGAGAGCCCGGATGGGTTCCGATGCGCATGCTTACCACACGGGTACTGCCGCCATTGGTCGCCGGGGAGGAGCGTCTCGATGACGCGACAGAAAAACACAGGAAGTGAGCCCTACGGTGGCCGCGGCGGGTCAGAAAGGGTCGGGTTTCGGCGCGGGGCGCGCGGCAGGGAACCTATTAGCGCAGCGCAGGGGGCGCGCCGGCTTTCAGGACCCGCGGGGGGCGGCAGCATGGAGGACGACGCGCCGGTGATCTACGGGCTGGAATTCCAGGTGGGTCCCCCGCGGCCCGCGCGTCCGGGTGTGCAGAGCGAGGCCGGCGCGGTCCCCGCCTCCCTGGCAGCCAAGGTGCCGGGGGCTGCGGGGCCGAAGGAGCTGGTCGCCCCGGGACCGGCCGGGAAGCGCGACAGCCCCGCCGCCTCCCTCCGCGGTCCCGGCGCTGGCGCGGCCTCATGCTCCCCCGCGACCCCGCGCACTCGCCCGGCACCTGTTCCTGCGGCGCCCGGGCTCCGGCGGCGGAGCTCTGACTCCTCCCGTCGTTCAGTCCCGGCAGCCACGTCTCCCCGAGTTGGGAGGACGGACGGGGCTTCCCGCGGACCCGCACCAGCTCCCGGGTTGACGTCCTGCGTGACCCGGCGCGTGGGAAGCTCAGATGCGCGTGGGGACCGCCCTCGGGCCGAAGCACGGGCTGCTCAGAGGTCGCCTGCGCCCCACGGACGCCCTGTTTCTTTTTCATCCCGTGTCCCCCCACAGGGTTGCCTGCGCCCCACGGACGCCCTGTTTCTTTTTCATCCCGTGTCCCCCCACAGGGTTCCCATCGTCCCGTGTCCCCCCAAAGGGTCCCACCGTCCCGTGTCCCCCCACAGGGTTCCCATCGTCCCTTGTCCCCCCACAGGGTTCCCACCGTCCCGTGTCCCCCCAAAGGGTCCCATCGTCCCGTGTTGCCTGGTCCATGTAGACAACCACTGTGCCACACCAGCCGTGCTGTGTATGTTTGTTAATCCTCACAAGGACGTTTTTTCCATTAGTTTTTAGAGAGAGTAGAAGGGAGGAAGGAAGGGGCAGAGAGAGAAGCATCGTAGTGAAGCATCTGTGTACTCAGTTCAGACTCAGGTCCCGGTTTGGGGCTGCCTGCGACCGAGGAGACCTGGTCGGCACATTCCCACGGCTCTTCCCTGCTGGGCTCTGGACTCGGCGTGGCGTCTCCGTCGCCTCTTACTGGTTGGGTTCACTCAGTGGTGATGGCAGGCGAGGAGACAGCTCTGTGACGAAGGCCATGGCTTTCCTTTGGAAAACTGGGCAAGACACAGCCTATCCTATAGAATCCTATCCTATAGAATAAAAGCCTAATATGCTAAGTGTCCGGTCGTCGGTTGGCCGTTCAACCAATCAAAGCGTAATATGCTAATGATATGCTAAGGCTGCTCAACTGCTCGCTGTGACGCGCACTGACCACCAAGGGGCAGACAGTCAACCGGTTGGCCAGTCGCTATGACCTGCACTGACCACCAGGGGGCAGACGCTCTGATCAGTAGGTTAGTTTGCTGCTGGGGTCCAGCAGATTGGGACTGAGTGAGACGGGCTGGACACGCCCTGGAGCCCTCCTGTGGTCCCTCCCCAGCTGGCCAACCTCCCATGTCCCTCCCTGGCCCTGATCATGCACCGCTGGGGTCCCTCAGCCTGGCCTGCGCCCTCTCACAATCCAGGACCCCTCGGGGGATGTCAGAGAGCTGGTTTCGGCCTGATAGCAGAACGACCAGTCACTATGATTTGCACTGACCACCAGGGGGCAGATGCTTGATGCAGGAGCTGCCCCCTGGTGGTCAGTGCGCTCCCACAGGGGGAGTGCTGCTCAGTCAGAAGCCGGGCACATAGCTGGTGAGCACAGCGGCAGTGGTGGAGCCTCTCCCGCCTCTGTGGCAGCGCTAAGGATGTCCGACTGCCGGCTTAGGCCTGTTCCCTGTGAGTGGGCCTAAGCCATCAGTCAGGTACCCCCTGAGGGCTCCCAGACTGCGAGAGGGCACAGGCCGAGCTGAGGGACCCCCCTGAGTGCACGAATTTCGTGCACCAGGCATCTAGTGCAGTGATGGCGAACCTTTTGAGCTCGGCGTGTCAGCATTTTGAAAAACCCTAACTTAACTCTGGTGCCCTGTCACATATAGAAATTTTTTGATATTTGCAACCATAGTAAAACAAAGACTTATATTTTTGATATTTATTTTATATATTTAAATGCCATTTAACAAAGAAAAATCAACCAAAAAAATGAGTCCGCGTGTCAGAGGTGTCATAGGTTCGCCATCACTGGTCTAGTGGAATTATAATAAAGTGACCTGTGGTCCAACATAACCAAATAGACAAATGTCTTACTGTGCTACCAGCTCCCTGCTTACTGTAATAGAAAGAGAACTGGCCTTAGGCTGGGAGTCTGGGTTCTTGTCTCTAAGCTGTGTGACTGGTAAGTCAGTTACCCTCCCTGGTCCTCAGTGTCTTCTGTGTGGAGTTATATCCATCCTGTCTTCCTGTCTGCTTCGTCGAATTGTGAGGATGAGCCAAGATAAAGTACAGGGACATTCTTGGTGACCTATTACACTGTGAAATTTCAGTCTTACTGTATTAGGGTCATTGGAACGCCTCCAAACCATCATCATGACTGCACGCAGGAAGGTCATTTTATTTTTCAGTTAATCAAAGAAGCAGAATCACAGACACGGATATCACTCTGTCACCAAAATGGCCAGAGTTGTTATTTTTGTAATTTTACCCAATAATGTACTAGAAAGGTCTTAAGTTACACTTTTATGAGATTTCACTGTATTTTAAAGATGCAGTTTAGATTTTGTAGAAGCATGATTTTCCTCTTCGATTAAAAAGGTGTCTGCTGTGTGAGAAGGACAAGGTGGTTCAGGTTTGTGGTGTTTTCTCGAAGGCGGCTTTCCCCTGAAACACGTGGTCTGCGCAGACCTGCGTTTTGCACGTTACGGCTGCTGCTCCTCAGGTGGTGCTCGGCTCCGTCAGCGCTTAGGACAGTGATGGCGATCCTAGCACACGGAACTCATTTTTTTGGTTGATTTTTCTTTGTTAAATGGCATTTAAATATATAAAATAAATATCAAAAATATAAATCTTTGGCCCTGACTGGTTTGGCTCAGTGGATAAAGCATCAGCCTGCGGACTGAAGGGTCCCAGGTTCGATTCCGGTCAAGGGCATGTACCTCGGTTGCAGGCACATCCCCAGCGGGGGGTGTGCAGGAGGCAGCTGATCGATGTTTCTCTCTCATCGATGTTTCTAACTCTCTATCCCTCTCCCTTCCTCTCTGTAAAAACTCAATAAAATACATTTAAAAAATATATAAATCTTTGTTTTATGTGGTTGCAAACATCAAAACATTTCTATATGTGACATGGCACCAGAGTTAAGTTAGGGTTTTTCGAAATGCTGACACGCCGAGCTCCAAAGGTTCGCCATCACTGGGGTAGGAGGAAGCCCGTGTGTCCTGGTTCCTCCTCGCCCATGCGTGGCCCTGCGCCCCGGCCTGCCCCTCGGCGGCGTCTGACGCCCCGAGCACAGTGTGCTGCTGTGTGGTCGTCCTCTCCTCCACACGGGGGGCATCTGTCCTGCTTCTGCCTCAAGTGAACTGTGGGGCGTGTCTCTCAGGAATGGCCTGGACCCTCGTCATGAGTCGCTTTCTACGAGCCGGGGCTGTTTAGGTCGGGTAGGGTTCAGAGAGTCTGAATTTGCTGATACACACGAAATTCTGTGTATGTGAATGCACATTTTTGGCAGAAGAGCTATAGATTCATAAAGAACCATGAGCTTTGCAAAGAAGTCTAAGACTCCAGGACTGGTCCAGCCACGTCTGCCGAGGAGGGCAGGCACCGGCCGTGGAGCCGGAGCACCTTTAAGTCGTCGGAGGGAGGAAGGGGTTTGTTCTCCGGCGTGTGGCCCTTGGTGCTGCCGCCGCCGCCGCCGTGTCTGCCTGGTGGCACTGAGGCATCTTAGTCGTCGACGTTTTTGCGCCATTGGCCTTCGGAGGAAGGTGGGAACACGGATCATGTGTTTCCTGTCGTCTCCGGACCTTTTCCGGTAGAGACGTGTGGTTTGTCCCAGACTCAGTGGTAGGACAGCTGTCAGCCTCGCTCGTTTCCGCCTTGAAGAGGATGGATCAAGGCCCTGAGAGCCTGTAGGACTCCATGGGCTGGAGGAGGTGGGGTCAGGCCTGTTCCAGCTGCGGTGGGAGGAAGGGCGCGGGCAGGGCCCACTCCGTGAACGGTGCTCGTTTCCCGATGCTGGGACAGCCCGCTCCACGCGAGGTTCGGAGCAGGACCTTGCCGCCCTGGGCTCTGGCTGTCGCCGTTCTGCCAGTCGCCTCTGCAGAAGCCTCGGTTTACCACGCCTGCTCTGCCGTGCTGGAGCCGCTGTCTGCTGTTCTGTTGCAGAAAAACCTGCTCAACCAATCTGTCGCTGTTGACAATTCCGGCTTTATTCAAACACACTCGCATCTTCACTGCTTAACGTCTGTGCCCACGTACAGTCCTTCCGTGCACACATTGGGAGTGGGAGGCGGTGAGCGCGTGGTAGTTGCCGTCTGAAGCCCAGGGTGGTAACGGTGTGCACGCCCTTCCTCCCGCAGGCCCGTGCGCTGACCCCGCAGACGGCAGAGACGGACGCCATCCGGTTTCTGGTTGGGACGCAGTCTCTGAAATACGACAATCAGGTAACTGTTTCTGACAGATGCGTCCGTTGTCATGACTGAACCTGTTCTGACTTGGTGACCATTTTGCTCTTGATTTTTCAAGCAACGTTTGAGGAAATTAATGCCACACGAACAAAAGAAAACTTTCATTGGGATTTTAACATCCAGCTGTAGGTACTGGTTGAGTTTAGTAATTCAGATGCGTCCCGTGGGCACCGCTGTGGTCGTTCTTGTGGCTGCGTAGGACTTACTGTGTCCGTGACCGGGAAGCAGCCTGGGTCTGTGGTCAGCATCAGCCATCAGCCCTTCTCCTGGCCTGTGACGACCTCTTGTTGCTCATAGCACGCTCTCCACTGCGCCTGGAGGAGGCCACAGGCCAGCTGACCCCATGGGCATGCAGGAGGGGCCCGTTTGCTGGACTCTCCACTTTAGAAGAAAGCATGCTGGATACTCATGAGGTCAGGGTTCAGTTCCCGGCTTGACACTGACTGTGACCTTGAGCAAATGGACTGCCCTTGCTGGACTTCATTTCCTCACTGTAAACAGAGATGGGGCTGTGGACGGTCGGCACCTCGCAGGCGCCGTGACGTGAGGATGAGCGCTGTCCTTGACGGGGACACGGACGCACATGGGCTGTGTCGGAGGCAGGGCCTCTGCCCAGCCATCACGGTCACACGGGAAATGGCGCTCAGGTGTCAGAGCTCCGTGTTCAGCCTCGGTTTTAGGGTCGGAAGGACTAACTGTTGGGAAGCCTCTCCCTGCCCTCCACTCCTGCCGGCTGGACCACGGCTCCTGTCTCGGCCCCTCAGGCGTCCTCACTGAGCCGCTAACTCAGCCTGTGCTCCGGCTCCTGGTCCGTTTCCAGTGAGGGTGGCGGGAAGGATGGCCTCACGACTTTGCACACGGGTTCCAAGGACAGGCATCGAGAGCGTCTGCCCTGCGGGTCCCCGTGCTGCCCTGGGAAAGTGCTCGGCGTGGCCGGGACAGGCTCCACCGGTTCGCTCAGCCAGCGCTTGGTGGCTCCCCTCTCGGTGGGTGTGCCGGGTCCACAGAACGGGAGCAGATGCGTCCTGCTCAGGGCTGCGCTCTCAGGGAGATGGCGGAGGGAATGCGGACACTGCGTGGCCGTGGTGACAGCGCGTGCGAGGGCGCACGGGGCCCAGGAGAAGCGCCCTCGCTTCGGTCTGTTGGCGTTGGCGCCAGCACCAGGGGAAGGTGGCTCTTTGGCCGAGGCCTCGGACCAGGATGGAATGGGTTCACTGGCCATGGCCTTGCTTCCTCAGGGCGGGGTCATTCCCGGGCGGAGCCTGGCCAGGATCGCGGGCGTGTGTGTGTGTGTGTGTGTGTGTGTGTGTGTGTGTGTGTGTACACAGGCCTCCTCTGCTCCCCTGCGCTGCCGGAAACGGCCCTCACGCCTCACACAACATGGGCCTCCCTCTCAATGAGACGTGTGTGTCTCCCCATGTGACACGTGGGTTCCTACCACACACGACACCTGATTCTCACATGTGACACATCCGGTGCACACACAACACAGTGCTCCTTCCCACGTGGGACTCGTTTCCTCCCACAGCAGCACGCGTGTTTCTCTTGTGGATGCCTGTGTCATTCTCATGTGACTCTTCCTCTCACATGTGAGTGTGTTTGCAGGGCTCCCGCAGGCGCCGCTGTGTCCTGTGCTGGGCGGGAATGGCCTGCGGCTGGGAGAGGAGCCCGCGGGGGAGCACAGCCTCGCAGCCCGCTTCTCTCTGCAGAGGGGCTTCCCAGCGACGTCGTATGTGACTGTCAAGTGCACGGTGATGACGGAGAGATTGTCTCCCAGCCTCGTCCCCGCACCCTCTCCCTGGGCTGTTTCCTCCTGAGGGGACGAGCTGCACTGCTCCTGGGCGGTCACCGGGGCCTCATTCCTGTCGTCCTCCGGCTGCTGGTGTCGAGGATGCGCTGGGGGCGCACCTGGAGCGGGCACGGCCGGGTGCTGGTGTGGGGGGCACGGCCGGGTGCTGGTGTGGGGGGCACAGCCGGGTGCTGGTGAGGGGAGGATGGCCGGGTGCTGGTGGAGGGGGCACGGCCGGGTGCTGGTGTGGGGAGGGTGGCCGGGTGCTGGTGTGGGGGCACAGCCGGGTGCTGGTGGCGGGGGGTGGTGGCA